TTCTATCCCATGTCTTTGCAAAAAGGATGGGAAAGGGAAGATGCTGCTTCCTTGTGCATTCCCACCATCAGGATGTGAGGTACCAGCCCCAACGAACACCCAGCAGTTCAATAGCATCACACACATGACAGAAGGATGCACAGAGCCTCTGTAGCACAGCGGGCAGCAACCCGCAGTGTGTGTCCCCAAGTTATTAGGGGAGCAAACAGAGGGAAAACAGACCCAAGAGCACACAGCCAGGGCCCAGCACTTGTCAGGGCTGCAGAGCCAAGAGATACGCCGTCTGTGCTGCAGATCACGAAGCTGATCCCACACAGAAATGCAGCAGGATGTGCCAGAGCGGGAAGTGAGGCCAAAGGAGCCTTCCCAGACCAGTAGCCTCCCACACCAGATTAAAATTCCATAGGAATTTGCTAAACAAATCGACTCTTAGCTACTGCCATAAACCCGTGGGATGTTTTGTGTTACTACCATGCAACGGAGGGAAGGAAACAGACCCTTCAGCTTGGAGCATGCACAGAGCCTCCCATGATAACATTGAGAACATCACTTGGGTGCACAGGGTTAGGGTTGTGCATGGGGCAGGCTTCTACAGCATCAGAATGGGATGGGATCTGGCTCGCTCCATCCATCCATCCATCCATCCATCCATCCATCAGCAGTCCCTGCTCCCCCCAGTACCACTCGGATACAGCGGCAGAGGAACCCTGGTCCAGCAACTGCTGCATCCCAAGCTGCCTGCTGCAGATGGGGAAGCAGGAAGGGCCCCAGGAGTGTTCAGTGCTGGATTCTCTCCTCTCACTCCATTTTACAGCTGCTGGCTAACTCAGCCACCCTCCCGAGGTGTTGATGCTGTTCTCATTATCTCCAATGCAAAACAGAGCCAAGAAGAGGAGGGAAGGGAAGAAAAAACCTCCTTTAAGAAGAAACCCACACACTAACCCTCTTCCAGCCCCCTCCCTCGCCTGTTCCGAAGCACAATGATGGATTCAAAAGGCATAGTTGCAGGGGTGGAGAAGGGCTGCAGAGAGACCAGAGCATGGGAAGTGACCACAGCCCGAATCACCTAACACAGCCCCATGCCAGCCATTTCCTTGCTGAGAGGAGCCTACTGTGCATGCCTTAGTGCCTGTGTAAGGAGCCTGAAAAGATGATTTTGCATGGGCTGGTTTACAAGAACAAAACGCCTCAGTTCTGTGGAGGCACAGACCTAAAAGAGAAAGAGAGGACGGAATAGAAGTGAATGGGGAAGAGACAAAACAGGGTGGATGGTGTAACTTAAAGGGAGATGCTTGCAAAGCATCTCTGCTCTCAAGCAGTCACAAGGAGAACTGAGGCTGTAGGACGGGATGCAGCTCTTCCCCAGGTGTAATTAAGTGTTGCCACAGAGATGAAGAGTCAGAGGAGAGTTCTGGACTGGCTGAATGAGAATTCCAATAGGAGCCAAGTGACATTTTAAACATATGGAGCATCTGCAGCGTTGAACACTAACCAGAGCAGCTCGCTTTATCATGGACATCAATATGGGAAGGAGTTCCAAAGCAGCACCCCAAGACACCCTTTTGCCCCCTCTATATCCTAAGCTGGGTGATGCAGCACCCAAAGCACCCCAGCACAGCATGAACCCACTCTGCTGCCCACAGATGGAGCAGCCCCAATGCTGGAGGAGGCAGCAGAGAAGCCATTGAATGCCATAGAATCCCAAACATCAGACACCAAACCCATCTCCAAAGCCAGCCGAGCAGCCTCAATCACCCCTGTGTTAATGCAAATCATGCCACAAGCGAGGTGCTGTTGAAGAGCAGCCCTGGGTTCTCATTAACCAAGGCTCTAACACAGGTTTAATGTGCACTTCCTTCCACCCAGGCTCTGCTCCTCCCACACCGCACACAAAAAGCCCTGATTTCCCTCAAGTGCAGCTGGGATCAAAGGGAAATGTGAGCCCCACACACACAGGGAAGGAGCTCAAGGGGATTAGTCAGCTGTTGGGCTCCACAAGAGCGTGCTTGATGGCTGTGTCAGGGCAGAGCAAGGCGAGGAGAGCACTGCACCTACCATGGAGCCTGCTCCTGCTGCGCCTTGGGATGCTCTTAGACCTGCAGTGACCCCAGCGCTCTTCTTCATGCAGGAGCCACCATTCAAGGCACAAATACAGCAAGGCCTGCCCTTATCATAGGATCATGGAATGGTTTGGGATGGAAAGGACCTGAAGATCATCCAGTTCCAACCCCTTGCTATGGACAAGGACCCCTTCCACTAGAGCAGGGTGCTCCAAGCCCCTGTGTCCAACCTGGCCTTGAGCACTGCCAGGGATGGAGCATTTACCACTTCTCTGCTCTAATGCCTCATCACCCTCACAGTAAAGAACTTCCTCCTTCTATCCAACCTGACCTCCCCTGTTTCTTTCCCTGGAAGCCTCATCCAGATATCCTGAACAAGATGAAATCCACTCCTGATGCTACACATCACTGCGTGCTGCTTGGGGCCATCTCCCTGCCCATGCATTCCCCCATGGAGCCACCAGAACATCCTCCTTCATCCACGGACCCAGTCTGAGCCCATGTCCCAGCATCCCACACCCATCCCAGTGTTGCTCAGCACCAAAACCTTCCCTCCAGACACCCTCAGTGCTAAAGGCAGTTGCAGAGCTTAGCTGAAGCATTTGGACTACAGCTGCTCAAAGCATTATGACCACAACTAAGTGTAACCCCAACGCACCAGTTCCACTCTAACCTGAGCTGTTTCACAGGGATGCCCTCGTTTGAACTCTCCTCTTAGGCAAGATTGTGATGGCTGGGATTTTTCCAAGCGACAGGAGGTGAAGACACTCAAAACATCCATGTTTTTCCACTCAGCTGCCACCATTCTTCCCATTCTTTCTGCAGAAGCACTCCAAAGTTTGTTTTCCAGCTCAAAACGCAGCACGGAGCAATGCTCTGGGCAGCTTTGCTTGGAAGAGCTGATGGGAAACAAGTCCTGGAGCTCAACTCTCACACTCAAGAGCTCAGAAATGGTTCCCAGGGTGGCAGGAGCAGGGTCTCATGCCCAGTTTTGCATGGGTTTCCATGGGTGAGGTGAAAGGGACTTCTGCAGACCTCAGGAGAAGCCTGAACCTTAAGTAGGGCTTAAGGGAAACCATGGTTTTGGTGGTTGATTTGCTCTATAGCAAACCTGTTAGCACATAGAGAGCCCATGGCCCTGAGCCACCAGCCAGGCTGGTGCCCAGAGAAGCTGTGGCTGCCCCATCCCTGGCACTGCTCAAGGCCAGGTTGGACACAGGGGCTTGGAGCACCCTGGTCCCTTTGCAGGAATGAGTCCCACTCTACATGGAATCTATTGTATTAGGAGGAAAGCTATATCCCTCCTTATATCCCAGGGGCCTTAAGGGACAATGTCCTTCACCATAAACAGGACCCAACTGGCTCAGCCACTCCAGCTCACATCCAGTGAGTGCAAAAGGAGCATGACAAAGAACACGGCAAAGCAGTGAAGCCAGAACTCTTCCAAGTGTTTGCTCAGGATTAACAAGTCCACACACTCTTCTTTCCCTTCCATCCCTCTGTAGTAGTGCAAGGATGGAGCAGAACTGATACCTCTCAATATATGGAATATATATATATGTATATATCTATATATATATCTCGTATCCCTCCCACTTGCAAACACTCAAGACAGTGCCTCTTGAGAGCCACTTTGCTGAACCAGCCCTTTCCCAGCCTCCCAGGCCATGAGTTCGGTCATTTACCCCTGTCAGCATTCCCAGCTGGAAAAAGGGGTTATGGCCTCTCCTTTGCACATCCAAGGGGAAGAGGGAGCCAATCTGCATGTTTATTTGTTGTCTGTGCAGAATTCCTGCATTCCTTCCCTTATTTACTTATCTGCTCCCAGGACATGCTCAGACCCTAGCAAAGGGCTCTGGGGGCACCACATTCCCCCATGAGCTTGGAGCTCTTGCTGGAACACATAAAGGGGGAAGAGAGACGCTGGTGAATGGGTGATGGGATGAATGGGAGTATATTATATTATGAATTATATATTCTATTATAATATTATGAATGGGAGTATGGTTAAGGTGGTTGGGCATCCAGATCTGCTCTCCATAGAGGCACACCTCCACACCTGAATATCTAAGACACTATTAAAGAGCACATATGGGCTGTCTCCCCCTCAGTCCTTCCCAACAGCTATGTTGTTACACCCACAGCATCACTAGTGGCTCAGCCACCCTCATGTCAACATGATGCACATGTACTCCATGAGCAGCACACAACATTCCAACCTGCCTCATCAAAGAGCTTTTGGGAGCAAAGGATCCAGAGGTTAATGTGCAAGGGATACAGGGCTTCACCACAACATGTAAGCACACCTCATACCCACCCCAATCACTTAGCTGCTCAGCTTGGCTCTAAGTTACACCTTGGAGAAGCAAGCTTTACCCATAAGCAGAACTTAGTTGGCTTCTTGGGTCCCTGCAGGAGTCCACAGGGCTGGCTTGGAAAGCAAGGAGTAACTACCATGAAGGCCTTCACAAGATTAACCCATTGACTTCTTATCTCTAAACCTATAGGAAAATCTAACTCAGGTGTGAGGAACCTAAATCCCCTTCTAAGTGCCTGCAACACGCTTGTGTTAGGACTTGCAGTGGGGATGCTCCCAACCACATCAGGGTCACTGCAGAGAGAAGCTACACCAAATCTGGGGTAAAAACCACATAAAGCAACCTTGTTTGGCTGTACCTTGGTTGCAATCACTGTATCTAATAAGAAGGTCAATGGCTGTGACAGCAGAGTACGTAGAGCAGCATGACCCTGCTCACACATAGAACTGCTCCACCTCATCCCCAGCGAGACCATTTGCCAATCACAGACTGGTTCGGGTTGGTAAGGACCTTACAACCACCCAATTCCAACCCCCTTGCCACAAGGCAGGGAAATCAAGCATTTACCAGCCAAGAGCACACGATTCCCAATGGAAGCACTGCAGCCACCTTCCAGCCTCACCTTCCACACAGTGCTCCACCTCCTCCAGGTTGCGCAGGGTGATGCGCATGAGGCTGGAGTTGAGCATCAGCTCGTTGCGGTGCGCCGGCCACATGTACTGCGGGGCAGGGTTGACGAAGAATATCCTGGTGTCGCCGGTCGAGACCTGGTTGTCGCAGATCAAAGGGTCCCCAAAGCCACCGATAACCACCTTGTTCCCTCCATCCAAGAGGATCTCGTGAGTGACGATGTCTTTGCCTTTCAGGTAGCGCCACACTCTCACCTGGAACGAGAGGGAGAAGGAGCACGTGAGACCATGCCTCTGGCCCTGGTTCATTCCTACCACACTGTCACAGGGTGCATAGGGGTGGTTTGGGCTTCCAACAGAGCTGATTTCATGAAACATCCCTCTAAAAGCACAAAACAGGGACAACAAAGGCTAACGCTTTTTGACCAAAGCAGTGCCCAACTCTCTGCCTATTACTAATAAAGAATCCAAATGGATAGCAGGAGATCCACTCTTGGATTAAAAGCAAGATCCAACTCGCCTACCCCTGACCCTTTCCATGTAAAGAGGCTGTGATCCATCATTCACAGAGCACAGGGACGTGGTTCCAGGATGCTGGTGTCGGCAGCATCATTGGAGGTGACTGTCTCCAGCCTGTACAGTTCACCCTGATTCACACCAAAATCTCAGTGGTGAGAATAACACACTCCTGCATAAGAAAACAGCTTTGATAGGAACATTCAATGGCTGGAAGCTCCCAACCAGGGAACGCTACAGAGCATCCATGGGGGAGCCTTTGAGCCTTAAAACAGGGGCAGGAGGAGGCAGATGGGGTGGATGAATGAAAGGAGGGGTCTTCTGGCTCTGCCAAGGGAGACAAAAGGCAGAGCAGATAACATGCCACGTAGAAATGTCAAAAGCAACTTATGCTCAAGTTTCTTGTTCAACTCAGGAACAAGGAAAGAAAACCTTTGCCTTAGCAGGCTGGATTTGCTAAAACACAGAGAGGATTTGGCAGGAGGAGCCTGTTCTCTTTACTCATCCAAACTCCAGGAACTAAAATAAGTCCTGGCCACTGGAGCTGCCAGCATCTCTAGAACAGTCTCCTTGGACTTCATCACTGGCTCATCCCCCTGCCCAAAACAGCAAGACAGCTTCGCTGTGGCAAACTAAAACAGATCTTTAGTGCATGTGGGACACCAGAGGCATGTCCCCATCCACACCAGAGAGGTCAGAAACCCTCTTACTGCAGTTCTATAGCAGGGACAACACAAAGCTGAGTCAGTGAGCTGCATGTAATAGCATCTCATCAGAGAGCAGCCCGAGGTTCCAGCTTGGAGCAAGGGTGGCTGCTGCAGTGCATGGGTATTACTGTGACCACAGGCATCCTTGGCCCTGCTTATCACACTCCCTGCCTGCATCTCCCCTCCTAGGGCAGCCTGAGAGCCCATTCACCTGCATTCTCTGGCTGTCTACACAGCCCAAAGAGCACTTGAGCACTCTGTGCCAAGCACCAAGGCAGCCAGGGAGGTGGCAGCTCAGAGACAAGGGGCTCTTGATCCCCTCTCTCAAGCAGGCACGCACGTATGTACTGGAGGAGTGCGGTTCCAAGGGGAATGCGAGGGGTAGAGAAAGGATGCTCATGTGTTCAGCATGAAAAAGGCTCCAGGGAGACCTTAGAGCAGCTCCCAGTGTCTAAAGGGGCTGACCAGAAGCCTGGAGAAGGGCTTTTGACAGGGGCAGGTAGCGATAGGACAACTTCCGTGCTTGGCATTGGGGTTTAGGTGAGGAGGAGAGCACAGAGCAGACATTATCCCACTCAAGAATAAGCCACATTTAGTTATGTGTAAGTGCAAATCACTGACATCAGCCCTGCACAGCCCTTCAAGTGCATTGTGTGGGCTTGAGGCTGTTCAGACAAACACCCCCATCCCATTACTCAGTGACTACACAAGACACACATAGTAACCTGATGTGCAAAGTTCAAGTAAGAGGCTAAAACCATGCAGCTCTCATGGCCTTTAATCAACCTTGCCCTTGTTTGAAGCCCTAAATCCAGAACTTCAAGGGTGCAAGCTCAGTATTAATGGTCAAGATCCATTGCTTCAAGGTCCACAATGCTCTTGAGCCCAATTCCAATACATTGTCCCTGTCACAACGAGGAGCTATAGGTGCTGGGGCAAGCAAACAGGGCCATTCCCATAGGAGCAAGCAGGCTGGGGTTGAGAGCATCCTGCTCAGCACAAGATCCTTCTGTCAAGCATAAAAAGGGAACAAACTGAGTGTTGCTTGTGCCCTTTGGGTGCATCTGAAGGTTAAGAACAAAGCTTAAGAGTGTATTTTACCCTCCCATCCTCCTGCTTTTCAGGCCTTCTCCTTAAGGTGTGATATTTGCCCACCTTGCAGAAGGAATCTGGGCTTGATGGGTCTCAGTTCCCACGAGCCCAGCAGGCCCTGTGTGTGTCAATGGTGCGAGCCTTGTTCTCTGCATACCAGAGAGCAAAACCCATCCCAGGCATCAACAGCTCCTGTGTGGAAGCTGGGCATGCCATAGCTGCTCCCAGGTTAGCTGGAGACACCGTACCCAATGCTTCCACATTCATTTGTCTTCCAGCAACCAGAGGGCAAGCAGTAACTGACAGGCAGGGTACCAGCCCTCCCAAGCTGCTGGGCAGGGGAGAAAAGAGAGGCTGAAGCAATGATTTCAAAGCCATTTTGTACAGCTTCTTTCAGCCCAAAAAGCCCTCTTGAGGAGCTGCTCGGTGGTACCCAGCCCTGTCAGCGGGAGCTCTCTTCTTGAGAGCGATGGCAATCAACCAGCAAGCAGAGGGAGCTTCAGATGGCAAGGCAGGGTAGCTGTGACAGGCAGCTTCCCTCCCTTCTGATCATCCAAGGAACCCCAGCATCAACACAGACATCTGCTCCACCACATGCAGGCGATGCCACGGGAGGCAGCCCCCTCCGAAGAGCCAGGCTGTGGCCACCAGCACCTCCTATGGTGTTTAAGGCTAGCACCATCCTCCTGCTTCCCCATCAGCAGCGCAGCTCCCTGCGGTCGTGCTCTGCCCACAGTCAAGTCCAGGCACCTTCCTGCAGCCCCACCAGCTCCACCTCCTCTTCCTCCTCCTCCAGCAGCAGCAGCAGCAGCCGCAGGGCAGGCGCTGGCTGCGAGCAGTGAGGTGCACAAAGCAACCGGGGCAAGAACCCAGCCACACAAAGGAGACAAAAGGGAGATGGAGGGGGGGGAATGCACCCAGGGAGCACAGCCTGAGGCTCCCAATGGGAGACAGCAGCAGCGGGGCATTTCACAGGTAGGTCTAAGGAAGGGGAATGCCTCCCCCTTGCTCTGGAGCAGATGGTGATGCGAGTTAATTGGCATGGCTGTTGTAGTCATGCACCTCAGAGCCAGGCCACAGCAACAGCAGAGTCCACCAGCTTTCTCCCCACCCTTATTCCCCTTATAATGAATGGATGGGAAGGCACCAAAGAGGGAGCAATTACCTGTAGGGCATCCCATTCATCATCACAGGCAATTAAGACTCTGTCAGGGGTGACTCACCGGCTACATCAAGGATGGGGGAAGGAAAGGCAGAGAGAAAGAATTGGGCTGGAACCTAGTTCCAAGAGGTGCCTTCCCTAGAGCAGACTAACTCACTCCTTGCCAGCGAGCACATAAAACCCTGAAATAAGGCTGGTTTACAAGGCTCCTGGCAGCAACAGGGAGGCAGAGTGAGAACTTTATTTAAGCAGAGCCTTGCAAGGGTGTATTTCAAGGGCTGCACAAAACCAGCGAGTCAGAGGGGTTTCCAATGGGATGTGGGTCCCATTCCGCAGGGGGGCATGTGTAGTGCTAAAGGATTCCTGCCAGGAAGATGCTTGTAAAGGAAGGTGAGGAGTTGGAGCATAGTCTCATAGAAAGAGAGCTGTCACTCTGAGCAGTGGTAGGGTCATCGCTACTATTAGCATCAGTTCATTAGTATCAGCATCACTTACAGCTTCACACTCAGCTCTGTCAAACCCTCCTTTTGTCATCCCTCTCCATGCCTTTCCCTGTCAGAAGCCAGCAGCCTTTCCCTTAGGAGCAAGGGGAAATCAAACCCACCTCCCCCAGCAGCTTCCATATCCAACCCTGGCTGGAGACAGCCGCTGCTACCCCCCAAAATACAGGCTCTATTTTTTGGAACAGGATCCACATCCTTGGCAACACTTCCTATAGAACCCGTATTTGTCCTATAAATAGGAGCTCCCTTCATAAATACCAGGTCAGAGCAGAATAAGGCCCCTCAGAGGGCTCAAAGCAGGGGCAATGCTAGCACATAGGCTGCAAATGGGATGAGCAGCAGAACCAAAAGCTTAGGAAGAGCAAGCCAGGAGCCAGCACAGAGCCCAGGTCCCCATGTCACATCTCTCAGTGAGACATATGGGGGTTTCAATGTGAAGAGATCTGTCATCTTCTTCTTCCTTATTACCCATCTCTAACAGCAAAGGAATGGCTGGTGGCTCTTCACAGGCATTCATCTAACATGAACTTCACATTGCTTCTCAGCTGCAATGTGCTTATCTTCACCTATCAAAGGCTTCAGCTGGGAGGGCTTAACTGGGGCCAAGAAGACACCAGTGCTCCCTCCCAGACCACCCAATAACACTGTTTTGGGTGTGGGCTCTAGGGAACTCCCACCACACACTTGGCCCTTGCCTTTGCCCTTCAGATAAAGCGATGACACGAGATAAGGGTGGTATTTGGAGGCAACCCCAGGGGCTAAGAACAGTTACGACAGCGAGGAAGTGGATGTGTAGCTTCCCACCAGCAACATCCTTTCTGCACCCGGGTTTATTCCAGCTCCACAGAGCACCGAGGGTCAGGTTTAATGCCCAAACTGCCCTTTTGGGATGGAGGTGTTTGGTAAAACCCACCCAAACCAACCCAAAACGCAGGCATGTCCATCCCTGCACCAGCAGAATCACAGCAGCGTCAATCATAGAACAGTTGGGGCTAGAAGGGGACCTTCCAAGGTGAGACCTTAGGGTGAAACAAGCCATTGGCACTGTGACTTATGCTCTAAATCACAGCGAGGTGAGATTTATCTGCTCCCAGATCCTAAAAACACCCCCAAGCCCCATTTCAAAGCCTTTTCCCTGCGAACACACTAGGAATATACCATCAAGAACCACACAGAAAGGGCTCGATGTGGAGGCAAAGCACTGGAAAGCCACTGTGCTAAGAAACTGTTGGGTGTCAGAGCACGAGCAGGAGCCAGCAGCACTGCCACAGTGAGATGGGACGGGCACATCCATCCAAGGTGGAAGCTTTTCCTCCCTCCATTCTTTTATAGGTCTACAAAGGTATCTTGGGAGCACATTCAGGCCTTCCAGTGCAGTTATGACAGCAGTTACTAACTCTGGAGTCCTGTGGCTGCTGTATCTTGTCTCTTTGTGTCCCTGCCTATGGCACGGGGTTAGGGCTCAATGATCTTAAGGTCCTTTCCAACCCAAATCATTCCATGATTCTTTGAGTAGCACAAACCTCCACCGCATTCCTTGGGATGGCTCAGGGAACAGTGGGCAAAAGACTCTGTTCCCAACCTGAGCAATGCAAACTGTGTTTCAAATCAAGCCAGGTTCCTCCCCATTGCTTTTAGACTTGATTGCACCCTTCCTAATGCAGAGCTGCTGAGCAAGCAGGTTCTCCATCACAAGGAAACTGCTTTTCCTGACCTAAAGCCTTGCTCTGATGCAGCAAGATGAAGCCAGGCACCACGCTGCTTGCCCGCAGTGGGGGGAAAGAGCCCTATTTCTTAGCTAAGCATTTCTAACCCATCACTAACCTCGCTGGACCACCTCCTACAAGGCAACCCCTGCCCTGGCATCAGGTGGCCCGCATCCATGCAGCCATATGCGCCCCAAGCTGCTGCAGGACACCGGCTGCTCGCAGCAGCTTATTAGTTCTGCACATAGCACCTAGGATGTGCCAGACACTTTGCAAACATACGGTCCCTGCTCTAGCCTGGAGGGTCTGGGATCTCAATGACAAGGGGACAGATTGTACCGTGTTGTATCGCGACAGGAAGAGCAATGGGAGCAAAACGTGAAGCAGCGGGCACCAGCTGGACAAGCAGAAGCTGTTCAACTCCTTTACTAAGGCGAGATGCTCCAGAACAAGAGGGTAAAGCCGTGGTATAAAGTTAATCCACCTCTGCACCACTGCTGTGCATCACCCCCAGGCCCTGCTTAGCACTAACCACAGGCAGGAACCGCAGCACTTTTTAGGGATGAGCAGAAAAGGGGATTGGGGAGGGGGGGAGAAGAAGAAGGGGGAAAGGCAATGGAGCAGCAAGTCCTCACAAGTGAGATTCCTGCCCCGGGAAGGGTTAAGCCATAGAGCACGTTTTCTGACAACCGGGCGGATGGTATTTCAGGTTGCTCAGTACTTTAAGAGTCTTTCGGCTTAGAGGAGGAGGGGGGGAGAGGGGAGAAAAAACATCGCCAGAGGCCAGATTCGTAGTTAAACAATAGCTTGAGCAGGAGGAACTCAAGATGCTGCTAAAGTCAACAGGGACAGAGCCAGGAGCGGCTCCCACCGCCCCGCCGGGGCAGAGAAGTTGGGATCCCGCTCCTCATCCCGGGCACGGAGGGGGAAAAATGCCCATAAAAAGCAACCTTGAGCGATTCCCTTGGGCGCAGCGCGGGAGCCCCGGCGGGGAAGAGCCTCCGCAGGCTAAAAATACCTAATTACACACCAAAGCGTACAATAAGAACCACATGCGGCCGCCCCAGCAAGCGCCTGCCCGGGGCCGAAAGTTTCCCTGCAGCCCCCCCGACCCCTCCGCATTCCCATTCCCAAATGGTTACCTTGCAGGAATAGGTGTGATGGACGGGATCCACGTTCATGATCTCCTCCACCGTCCCCGTCAACACCACGTTGGCTTCCTCCTCCCGCCGCTCCAGCTCCCGTTCGGGGCACGTCGCCCATCCACCACCACCCAGCAGCACCAGGAGCACCGGGAATACCGGGAGCAGCCGGGAAGCCGCCGCTGCCCGCCCCGCCATGGCCCGCGGGCCCCGCTCCCGGCCCCCGGCCCCCCGACGGAGCGGGGAGACAAAGCGAAGCCGCTCGCAAGCAGGGCTGGAGCGGAGAGAAGGGCTACTTTTGTTCGGGGAGGTGAAAAGGAGGAAAGAAAGAGAGGGAGGGAAGGAGGGGAGGGGAGAGCAGGGGAGGGGAGAAGGAAGAAAATCCCAAGAGGAGGAGGAGAGGAGGAGGAGGAGGAGGAGATATCGCTCCCCTGAAGCCGCGGCCAAGCGCTGGGTCCTCCGCTTTGCCCCTGTAAGAAAGCGCGCAGATTTGCATGCAATCTGAATTGCTGATAAGGAAGGAGCGGGTTAGAAAGGGGGGGGAATGGAGGGAGGGAAGCAGCCGGCCCTGCTGCCGGCTCCTCTTGCGGCGCTGCCGCGGACGCCACCCCCAGGAAAGGGAGCTCGCATCAGGTTAATGGATAATCAGCGCCGCAACGTGAGGAGACTTTTAAAGGTGTAGGAGCGGCTGCTGGCTCCGCCACCCCCTGCACCCGCTGCGGATCCCCCCCCGGCTCGGCTCTGCACTGGGGTCCCGCAGCGCGGACACCCACAGCCCTTGGGAACCGCAGCCGGCGGGTGGGGGATGTGACCCCATCATATGCGACCCCATCATACGTGATCCATCCATCATATGTGACCCCATAATGTGTGACCCCATCATATGTGACCCCATCATATGCGACCCCATCATACGTGATCCATCCATCATATGTGACCCCATAATGTGTGACCCCATCATATGTGACCCCATCATAGTATCCATCATATGTGACCCCATCATATGTGACCCATCATATGTGACCCCATCATATGTGACCCATCATGCCATCATATGTGACCCATCATTGTGACCCATCATAGTGATCCATTGTGATCCATCATATGTGACCCCATCATATGTGATCCCATCATATGTGATCCATCATATGTGACCCATCATATGTGATCCCATCATATGTGATCCATCATATGTGACCCCATCATATGTGATCCCATCATATGTGATCCATCATATGTGACCCCATCATATGTGATCCCATCATATGTGATCCATCATATGTGACCCCATCATGTGTGACCCCATCATACGTGATCCATCCATCATATGTGACCCCATCATATGTGATCCCATCATATGTGATCCATCATATGTGACCTATCATGTGTGACCCCATCATACGTGATCCATCATATGTGACCCCATCATGTGTGACCCCATCATATGTGATCCCCATTATGTGTCACCCCAGCATATGTGATCCCATTATGTGTGACCTCCACCATATGCGACCCCATCATATGTGACCCTATCATGTGTGATCCCCATTATGTGTCACCCCCATCACGTGTGATGTGTGATGTGTGACCCCCATCATATGTGATCCATCATATGTGACCCCGTCATATGTGACCCCACCATGTATGATCCCCATTACGTGTCACCCCGGCATATGTGATCACGTCATGTGTGACCCCCACTGTATGTGACCCCATCTTATGTGATCCCATTATGTGTGACCCCATCATATGCGACCCCATCATATGTGATCCCCATTGTCACTCCATCATGTGTGATCCCCATTATGTGTCATCACAGCATATGTGATCCCATCATGCATGATCCCCATCATGGGTCACCCCATCATATGTAATCCCATTATGTATGACCCTATCCTATGCGACCCCATCATATGTGATCCCATCATATGTGATCCCATTATGTGTGACACTCTCATATGCGACCCCATCATATGTGATCCTGTCATATGTGACCCCCACTATATGCAACCCCATCATGTGTAACACCATCATGTGTCACCCCATCATATGTGGTCCCATCATGCGTGACCCCAGTCATGTGTAACCCCCATCATGTGTGACCCCATCATCTATGTGTTCCCAGCACCTCCCTCCCTCCCCACCACCCTCAGCCCCCCTTCCACATCCCCAGACAGACCAGGTCACCCACACGCCCATCACCGTGTCCTCAGTTACCATAGGGTGAGAAGTCACCCAGGGCTCCCTGTGCCTTGCCTGATCCACAGCAGCACCACTGCCTGCCCCTGGAGCACTGTGACCTCCTGCCCTGGCTTCCCACAGGGGCTGGACCACACTGTTTCCAGATGTCATGTGCAATTACTGCAGATATAAAGCTAAAAGTTAAGTGGCACCAGGGGAGGGATAGTGTTTCTGCCCTCCATAAATTAACCACCCTCCCAGAGGTATTTTACAAGCCTGTTTTACTTGATGGCCTCAAACATTCGTGTTTGTGACCCAAGGTGAAGTTTAACCACCCCGTTGACGTGCCCCCATCTCCCGCTCTGTTTCCATACACAGCAGCATCCTGCACCATAAGGCTCAGCAGATGCCCATCCACCCTGTCCATCCCTGGAGCTTTGAGCTGTTTGGGCTGTTTGCCCCTGTGATAGTGCACGTGTCAATCACTTCTCTCCCCCCACTGGAACATAAGCAAGAATTAAGTGCCAGAATAGGAATAAATGGATCTGAGTGTTCAAAATGCTGCCCATCTCTGGGATCTCATCCTCTTTACATGGCCTAAATCTGCCTGGAGACAACACAACTGCCATGGGTTTTACATTGTACAGACAGTCTTATACCATGTGCTCGGCATCTCCCCAGAGACTTTGGTCTCAACACTGGGGCTGTTTGTGTAACCCAGCATCGTCTCATAGGTCCCCTTCCACTTCTATCCCATAAAACTCAGTTCCCAGTTCAATCCCAAAGGAAGGCTCTTATTCAAAAGCATGGCATATTCAATCACCTCTGTGAGGTCTTCAGAGAGAGGGTTTTCAGCAGGAAGTGGCCCATAGCATACACAGGAAACCTGCATCCATCTGATGGGGCTTAACTCTTCAAACCCTGCTCTGGACCACTCACCGGGGGGATGCGGGGATGCTGAGATGGTGCCATAGGGTGAAGGAGAGGCAATGCCTGGTTTTCTCCCTGTGCTAACCCAACCCCATCACTGAAACATGTGTTTTCTGCTTGAGGGGCAGTGGGAAGACTCCATCCCAAGCCAAGAGCGGGGCAGAGTCCAGGCTCTGAAGTCATCGCTGTTACACAGAGGAGGCTTAGCACAAAGGGCTCCATTATTACACTGCTGCTATTAGAAACTCCAGCAACCAGCTAAAAATATTGCAGTGCTTGGCACATTGCTTTGGCTGTTTTCATTAATTCCTATTGCCATCCTCAAGCTCTGCTCTGCTGTGAAGCCCAGAAACAACCTGGGCTCAAGGTGGAAGGAACCAGCTGTGTCATTGTGCTCCCAAAGAGGAGAGGGGAGGAATGATTGATGCCGGGGTTGTGTTAGTTGTTAGTTCTCTCCTCCTGGCCCCACCCCACCATCTGCTTTCAAAGCTGTGAAGAGAGAAAATGGGTTTCACAGGCTTTTCTGATGGGTTTGCCCCTATTTGGTCAGTTCTTCATGTGAATTTATTTGGCCTTGTAAGGCTTTCTGCCTACACAAACGCCGGGGTCCTGCTCCCCATGTGCAGGTTCAATAAAGACCATAATAAAGTTAATAGAGAATCATAGAGTCATGGAATGGTTTCGGTTGGAAGGGACCTTAAAGCTTAACCCCTGCCATCGGCAGGGACCCCTTCCACTGGAGCAGCTTGCTCCAAGCCCCTGTGTCCAACCTGGCCTTGAGCACTGCCAGGGATGGGGCAGCCACAGCTTCTCTGGGCACCCTGTGCCAGCGCCTCAGCACCCTCACAGGGAAGAGCTTCTGCCTAAGAGCTCAGCTCAGTCTCCCCTCGGGCAGGTTCAAGCCATTCCCCTTGGCCTGTCCCTACAGGCCCCTGTCCCAAGCCCCTCTCCAGCTTTCCTGCAGCCCCTTTAGGCACTGGAGCTGCTCTAGGTCTCCCCTTCAGGAGCCTTCTCTTCTCCAGGCTGCCCCAGCCCAGCTCTCTCAGCCTGGCTCCAGAGCAGAGCTGCTCCAGCCCTTGCAGCATCCCCATGGCCTCCTCTGGCTTCACGTCCCTCTGGAGCTGCTGCCCCAGAGCTGGGTGCAGGATGCAGGATGCAGGATGCAGGACGCAGGATGCAGGGAGGTCTCAGCACAGGGGTTCTGTGCTCAAGCACACACACACTGAAGCCAGGTGATGGGGAGCTCCTCACTGACCAGCACCAGCTGCTCCATCCATTCTCTGCCCAGCCTGTATCTGTGCTTGGGCCCACCTGCAGGACCCTGTTGAACTCCATCATGCAGATGGCTTCTCCAAAGGACAGCACCCAAAGAAGGAGCGCAGTCACCACAATCACCCTTTTAGGGACAATGTGCATTGGGAAGCATCATTGAGGAGCACATTCCTGCCCTGCTCCATGCTAAAACCTCATGCTGACAAGAGGAGAAAGCAGCCAAGAAACCGATGGTGGGAAAAGTGAGACAAACTATTTGGCAAATCAGTGCAGATGACAAATAAGCGGTGTTAACTGCCCCGAACACATCCATCACTGGGACTGGCCCAGGCTCTCCACAAGACAGCTATTGTAAACCTGGGGCTAAGCTGACAATGGAGCCGCTCAGTCAGGCTCTGAAAAATCAAGGGGTCTTGGAAATGTGACAAGGACTGGTTCGGTGGTTGCTTCCTGACACCTCTGCGCACCTTGGGATGGCATTCCTGGGATGTGCTTGATGGAGGGGCCTGAAATGTTGAGGAGGAAAGGAGAGGGGAGAGGGAAAAGGGAAGAGAAAAGTAAAAAGGGAAGAGAAAAGTAGAAAGAGAAGAGAGAAGAGAAAAAAGAGAAGAGGGAAGAGAAGGAGAGAAGGGGAGAGAAAGACAGAAGGGAAGGGAAGGGAAGGGAAGGGAAGGGAAGGGAAGGGAAGGGAAGGGAAGGGAAGGGAAGGGAAGGGAAGGGAAGGGAAGGGAAGGGAAGGGAAGGGAAGGGAAGGGAAGGGAAGGGAAGGGAAGGGAAGAAAGAGAAAAGAGAAGGGAAAGGAAGGGAAGGGAAGGGAAGGGAAGGGAAGGGAAGGGAAGGGAAGGGAAGGGAAGGGAAGGGAAGGGAGAAAGAGAGAAGAGGATTGCGCTATTCCCAATGAGGTCGTCACCATGCCATGGGCCTGCTGAACCCCCAGTGCTGTGCTACCATTGCTGCATGGCTGAGCTGACCTTAATGCACCCATTTAACTCCCAACCCTCTGCAAGCTTCAGCAATATCCGTGTCATCCCTTCCACATCTGAAGTCAAGCGCCTGGGCAAGCTTTGCCTGATGCGGTCTCTTCCCTCCAGCTGTGGTGTTTGGGACAGGACCATAATCCTTCCCATGTCCTTTGAAGACTCCTTTTCCAATGGTAACAGCTCATGACACAGGCAAATGAGCCTCTTTTAGGCTGGGCTGAGTAACCCTGCACAGGTCT